TCCAGTCATTACACACAAGGCAGGGATTTGTTCCCAGAAACTAAATGGATCAGTTACATACCGTTCTCCTACTCCCCTCAGCCCATGCTTATACAGATCTAGGGGTCTAAGGAAGTTACTCCTGCTTCATATCATCGATGGGGGAGAGAAAACTCTCATTCATTAGACCCAAAGGGAGTTCTCTCCAAGGACATGGGCAGGTGTAGAAACTGGTATGAAGGGACCATAGCCCAGAGCATCTGGATGTATATACTGCTTCATCATACTGGAGAGTCTTAGTTCATCCAGTCTCCAAGTTAGAATGCTTGGGAAAGCAATGGGAAAACAACGGGAAAAAAACAGACAAACCCAGAGGAAGACGGAGTAGTACAATGGAGATGGCCCTGGCTTATCAGTCAAGGACTTGGGTTCAAACCCGTGTGACTTTGGACAAGTTGCTTAACCTTCCTGGGCCTCAGTTTCCTCATTTGCAAAAAGATATGGTTGGACTCTGATGTCCCTTCTACTTCTAGATCAATGATCTGAACTGTCCTCTACTAAAATTTTCATTTATTCCTTTAAAGGAAGCTGAGACATCAAGCAGAAGAACATTAGACCAAGAGTAGAGACCTGGGTTCTAGCCTGGACCCCAGTGGGACAAGGACAAGTCACTTCCCTGCTGTGGATATCAGTTTCTTCATCCAGAAAATGAAGGGGATTTGATTAGATCATCTCTGTAATTCTTCTCAGCTCTGGAATTTTTCTAACTCACTGACTTAACCCGGACCCAATCCAGCACCTTAGTGCGGAAGAGTGGCTTCGTAGTCATTGCATTCTGGTTCAGATCCTGGCTTTGCCACCGACAACCTTTGTACCCTTGAGTAAGTAGTCCCTCTACCTCTTTGGGCCTCAGTTTCTTCAGTGGCAAAACGAAGAAGCTGAGACTAAATGACCTCTTAAAGTCCTCAGCTCTACATTTACGATCTTAGTTTTCAAAATAAAGCTCCTTCCTCTGCTAAGGGGTTAATCTCCTTCCCTTGTTCCATCATTTTTCAGTTGTGTCTGACTCTTCATGACTCCATTTGGGGTTTTCTTGGCAAAGATACTAGAGTGGTTTGCCATTTCTTTCTCCAGCTCATTTTACAGATAAGGAAACTGAGGCCAACAGGGTTAAGTGACTTGCCCAAGGTCATACAGCTAGTAAGTATCTAAGGCTAGATTTGAATTCACAAAGAGGAGTCTTCCTGACTCCAGGCCCGCCATTTAGCTGCCACCTCCTTCCCTTGAGCACACAGCACATTCATTCTTTGTAATCTAAGTCATATTTATTATTCTACTTGGGATGCTGCTTCCTCTCTGCCTCTTCAAGGCCCATATCCCTTTTCAAGGGATAACTCAGGTTCTCCTTCCATGAAGTCTTTCTGATCCACTTTCTCTTACACATCTCTTAGAATTTTTTTATATTGACTCAAGTTTTCCTCCTAGGGTCCTACAATAACATCATGTCAGGGTTGGAGGACCTTAGAGATCATGTAATCCAACTTCTTTATTTTCCAGATGAAACAACTGAGGCCTAGAGAGTTGGCAGTGGTGTATAGCCAGTAATGGTCTCTCTGCTCTCTGAGCTCCTACAGCACTTAATGGTCTGTACCCCCATTAGATTAGCTACTATAATATTGTTTGCAAATTTTTCCACTGCAGATTAAGATAAAAAACTCAAAGGTCTAGAATTGGAAGGAACCTCAGAGAGCATCTAGTTCAAACTCTTCATTTTTTATTTGAGGAAATTGGAGCCTGGAGAGGCAGAGTTAATTTGTTTAAGGTCACATAGGTTGTTAGTAGCAGAGCCAGGAAACTGAAGCCCAGGGAAGCTAAATGATTTGCCTAAGGCCATGTAGACAGTAAGCATCAAAGCCAGGATTTCAACTTAGGTCCTATTACTACAGATTGAGCATTCATGTATATAAGTTTTGCTTTTTCATTAAGACTACCATCTCCTCAAGGAAAGGGATTGATCTTTGTTGCTTTTCTTTTTCATTTTTCAGTTGTATCTGAATCTTTGTGACCCCATTTGGGGTTTTCTTGGCAAAGATACTGGAGTGGTTTGCCATTTCCTTCTCCAGCTCATCTTACAGATAAGGAAACTGAGGCAAGCAAAGTTAAGTGACCTGTCCAGGGTCACACATTTGGTGTCTGAGGCTTAATTTGAACTCACAAAGAGGAGCCTTCCTGACTCCAGGCCTGGCACTTTTTTTTTAATGTCTTCTTTATCCCCTTTATTGCCTTGTCTAGGACCTGGCATACAGTACTCAAAAAATGTCTTGACTAAACTTGACTCCTGGAGCAGAAATATAGAGAGAAAAGACACATATAGTTAAGGAAAAGAGGGATACCAAATTGGCATTTGGTGAATACTGCTTCCAGATAAAACGGAACCTGTTTGGAATCTGAATACTCAACTGAGGCTAGTTAGATTCTGTGATGTTTCCTGCTCCTCCCTTGGCTGCCTCCAGAAAAGTATTGTATATGTTTGTTTTTGAAATTAAAGTGAATTAAAATTAATTTTGTTTGGGTGTTTGGCAACAGTCCCCAAGATAACTAGAGATGGCTTGGAGTAAAAACTAGAGAGAACCTGAGTCAGGAATCATTGGTCTGGAATCTTATAGATGACCCCAAGGCTGAGACCACCATGCTTGTAGCTTGTTCAGACCTGACTGTTTCCCCTTTCACGGGCACCTACTCCCCTTGCTTGTCTCCTTCCATTCCTCCTGCCTCTTACACCTCCCTTACACAAACACACACACAAACACAAACACACACACACACACACACACACACACCCCTCCTCATACCACACCCATTCCTCGATGCCCCATCTGAATCCCCCAGCGGATGCTGGCAAGACACCCTCTCTAGATTTGAATGAATGTTTCTTTCCTTGAAGAAACATGGAAATAATGACAAACCCAGGGAAGGCTCAAGAGTTTCAAAAAAGAGGAAACAGGCTCACCTCCCAGCTCATGCAGATTTACTTTACAATTAAATCCAATTATCTTTGTTATTTCAATCTTTGCTGAATGAGCTTGTGGGGAAAGAATCCATCCTGTTTGTTTTTATGGCATTTTCTTCCTTTTGAAATGTGTCACCCTGTGGGACAATTAGCCTGGGAGACGTGTGCTTGGGTAAGACATTTTCCACAGCTCCTTTCCAACTGCTCATTGTGAGCACTGTCCTAGCTTGTCCAAAGTATAGGGTGCCCAACTCCCTATTCATTCATTCATTCATTCCTTCATTCATGCACACAGCTGAGAGCTTCTGAGTGAATGGCACCAGTCCAAGCCTAGGGCTGCCATGCAATCTGAAATGCCTTGGAAGGGTTGCCTTCCTTTCCAACAAGGCAATGGCTACAGTTATTGCTACACCAAGCCCTTGGAGGCTCCACAAGCCACAGAACAAACACAGGGACATCCCTATTAAGGTAGTAGACAAGGCCCATTCCCTAGACCACACGGAAGACCCTTACCAGGGTGGGTCAATGTCAGACACGCTCACATTGTCTGACTTGTACATTTCTTTGTACATGTTAGACCACTTGGTAAGTATTCTCAGATAATAAGATCTAGTTTTAGTGCTGAAAAGGACATTAGAGGTCATTAAGCCCAATGTGCTCTTTTTTTTACAGATGAGGAAACTAAGGCAGTGTTGTTCAGTCATTTTTTCAGACTCGTCCAACTCTTCCTGCCCCATTTGGGGTTTTCTTGGCAAAGATACTGGAACGGTTTGTCATTTCATTCTCCAGCTCATTTTACAGATGAGGAAACTCAGGCCAACAGGGTTAATATTATTATTCCCATCTTACAGATGAGAACACTGAGGCTGATAGAAGTTAAATGATTTGCCCAGGGTCACACAGCTAATAAGTATCTGAGGCCAGATTTGAACTCAGGAAAGAGGAATCTTCCTGATTTTAGGCCCAGGGCCCTATCCACTGCACCACTTAGTTGTCCTAAGCCACGGCATAGAAATGACCCACCTGGAGTTATACAGTTGATAAGTGACAGAGCCAGAACTCAAGCTCAGCTCCGTTGATTTCAAATCCAGCATACTTGTGTGTATGTTCTCTGACCCATTACAAGACAAGCTCACTAGGAACAGAGACAATGTCCTGGGGACAGCTTGTATAATGGATAGTGCAATGGACTTGGAGTTAGGAAGACTTGGGTTCAAATCCTTTCTCAGATACTTATTAGCTGTGTAATCCTAGGCAAATCATTTAACTTCTCCCAGCCTCAGTTTTCTCATCTGTAAAATGGGAATAATAATAGTACCTACCTCACTGGGTTGTTATAGGAATTAAATAATATATGTGAAGTGCTTTGCAAATCTTAAAGCACTATACATATGTTAGCTATTTTTCTCATTATTACTCTTATGTCTCCCCCATTAGATAGGAGCCCTAAAGAGTAGTGATGATGAATCCCCAGTACTGAGAGCTCACCAAGGGCAGACACAATATCTCCTTTATTTTACTGAGAATTTTTGAGAAAGGAGGCTGTGTTTCTCCCATCATACTGAAGGCACATGATATGTCCATCCACTTGACCAGAAGTGCTTTGGAAAGCATGAAGTACAATGCCTTGCACAGAGTAGGTATTCATTTCTTGCTTTTTGAACTGAATTGGGCTGAAGTGCTATTCCCGAAGATGCAAACTTTTAGACAAACTATTATCAGAAGGGACAGCAACTGAGTTTTTTGGTAGATGAGAAAGAAAAGATACACACTAGTATCCTTATCCTCATCCTCATCCTCATCCACCCGTGGTGTTTCTAGGTTCCAGCAGTGGAAAGAGCGGCCCCTCCTGCCTGGGAGGGTAAGTGCTATGGCCTTGGGTGGGGTCCACAGTACTGAATCCTCCTCAGCTAGATGTCTGCTTCCACAGCAGGGAATGCTTCAAAGAAGGCAAGCTAGGAAGGTCCTAGCATTGCTAGAGATGGGAGGAGAGGTCAGAGGGAGCACTCACAGCTCGGTCACATCCTTGGGGATGCCTTTGGGCAGGACCCGGAGTCCTTTGTTGCTGCACCGCACCACAGTTTCCACACAGGTACACTGCTCAGGACAGCGGGGGGCCAGTTGGCAGCTGCTTTCATCATTACCTAGATTGAAGGCCAAGAAGAGAAAGTGTAAGGAGAGCTGACAGCTGGAGAGAAACTGAGGGAGGCTGGAAATGATCAAGTTCCAGAAATGAGAGACCCAAGGCTAACATCTCTTCAGTAAAGGAAAATGTGCCAAGATGTGTTAACTCTGAACATGGCTGGTGCTATCATCAGGAATCAGTGAATACAATACACACTGAGTGCAGGGTATAAAATGGCCCCATCTTGTTCTAGCCTTCCACTTCCTCTCTCTTCCCCTTCATCCTTTAAAGTAAAAAACAAAATAAAACAAAAACAAACCAAAAAGTACAGTAGGCCCAGATTTCTCCAAATGGATATTCCCCTAGACTTGGAGAAGCCTAACCTGTAAAGACTCTGTTTCTATCAGCTGTCCATACTTTTGGGACATAGACAGACAGAACTTATCAGAGCATGGATATCTCACTAAAGATCTAAAAATTTTTCAGCATCTCAGAGCAATCCATTGCAAATGAGCAGTGAGAGGCATTTTTTTTTTAAAGAGGAATGTGGATTTCAGTTTCTATTTAAAACAGATAAACTGCTGCCCAGAACTCAAGGAAAGGAAATCATGGGATCCTAGTCACAGGGATGTTGGTGGTGATCAAAGGAAGAACTCTTGACCCCTCTGGCATCAGAGTTCTCAAGATGAGTCCTTTGGATGCAGGTTATAATAAGATCCCAGATTCAGAGGTAGAAGGGACCTTTCTTTAACCTCCTCACTTTCCAGTGAGTGAACTGAGGCTGAGAAAGGTTAAGTGATTTGTACAAGGTCACCCAGATAATACATAAAAGATCTGGGACTCAAACTCAGGCACCCGATTTAAAAATCCAACACTCTTTCCAACACAGTGCCACACTGTCTTCTAGGCTGGGCTAGTAGATGGCAGCCTCTTTTCTGTTTAGAAGTAAATAACAACCTCTCCCTGGACTTTTCAATCCCTGGAGACTCTATTCAACCACTAGGAGTAGATGAGATCCACGACAACAAGCCTAATGGTTGAAGCCGAAAACTTGGGGACCTCGTGCTTCCTCCTAATATCTTCCTGGTCAGCTGACACCAGGTGTGGGGAACTTGCGGCCTAGATTTGGATTCAGTCAAAGGGCCGTACTTGAGGATCTAGAGGGCCACGTGTGGCCTTGAGGCCGCAGGTTCCCCACCCCTGGCCTACACTCAGCCTGTCCTTTGGGACTAATATAATTTTAGTCTATATTGATAGAGTCCAGAATAAACAAATCAGTAAGCAGCCCATAGCAGGTTACATCTTAAATACTGTATTCAATTCTGGACAAGACAGTTTAAGATGGACTTTACAAACTAGGGCATAAGAAATGAGACCAGGATGTTGAGGGGTCTCAGAATTTTCATATGAGGAACAACTAAAGGAATATTTAGTCTGAAGAAAAAAAGACTTAGGAGGGACACGGCAGTATTTGAAGCACTGTTAGTTGAAGGGTTGTCATTAGGAGTGATTAGAGTATAGCTCTGGGGGCAGCCTTGAGTTCTATATAAGGAAAACATTAAAAAAAATCAATCAGGGGAATTCAAATACGGTACAGCATATCTCATGAAGTAGTGAGCTCTCTGTTATGTGAAAATATGCAAATAGCAGCGGATGGCCATCTGTCAGGGTTGTTAGAGAGGTGACTCAGGTGTAAGCTCATCTCTAAAATCATTTCCAGCTCTGAGATTTGATGAATCTAGAATTTGGGCTTCATGACATGCTACCTATTGCTCTTTCAATTAGACAACCATTTATTAAGGCCCCAATATATTCAAGGCATTGTGCTGAGCACTGAGTATACAAAGAAAAAAATGAAACCCAGTTCAAGGACATTATGTTGTATTGGGTTGGGGGTGGTGGTGGAGAGAAAATATTTATCTAAATAAGGAAATAAAAGTTCATTTGAGGAGAGAAAGTACATTAGTTCTTGGGGGATTTAGAAGGGAGCTTAACAGGAGGGATGACTCCTGAGCCTGGCTTGAAGGAAGATGGTTCTGAAAGGCAGAGGAGAGGAGGGAGTGCATTCCAGGCTTGGGACAACTTGTGCTAATGCAAAGAGGTGGGAGATTGAATATTCAGTTCCAGGAACAGCTAATTCTTCCAGTTTGTCTGGAACATAGAGTACAAGGAGGAGAGAAATATGAACTAAAGCTGAAAGACAGGCTGGAGTCAGACTATAGAAGCTAAGTTCCAGACTGAGCCAATATGGAGACAATGAGATTTTTGAGAAGGGGAGTGACATGGTCTGACCTGTGCCTTAGGAAAATTATTTTAGCAGCTGTGTAGAGAATGGTTTGGGGAAGGGAAAAATTAGAATAATGGTGACCAATTAGGGGACTATTACAATAGTTAAAGTGAGAGGCAATGAAAGCCTAAAACTAGGCCTGGTGGCTTTGTGAGTGAGGAGAAGGGGACGAAGATGAGCAATGATGTTCCACCGTGTGTGGAATACAGAGTATGTGGAAGTGAGCGATAAGAAATGAGCCTGGAAAGGGAGGTTGGAGGAACCCTTGTTCTACAACATCTAAGTAATGCCCCACCTCCAACCTTCACAACAGGACTTGGCCACTGATTGGTTGAAGGGCATAAGGAATTACGAAGTCCTTAGAGACTGTGAACCTGAGTGAACAGGAGGAGAGAGGTACCCTCAATGGAAATAGTATGAAACACAGCCTGGGTGAAAGTGGAGGCCTAAAGAAGAAGGCTTGGTACCAACAAAGGAATGATAATTATCTTCTTCTAGGAAGGACAAATTCCTGACCAACAATTTGGTTAGTTATTCTTGTGAGATACTGAATGGAGAGCTTAGGACTAAGGGTCTTAAGGCCTCCTCCTCTGCCCACTTCCTGTCCCTGAAATAGTAACAATCCAGGCATTCCTTTTTCCAAAAACATTTCCTTTTTCATGCATTTGTTCGATCACATGTATTTACACGAACTATGTGGATAAAGGCTTATTTGCCATTTACAGAGAGAAAAACTGAGGCTGGAAGGCTTGGGTAACTTTTCCATAGGTAGTAGAGAAACTAGGACTAGAGGCAGGTGTTTTTAGTTCCTAGACTGTAATGACTTGAGTCCACTGCCTGGGACCCTAATACCACCTGTGTGTTTCTCTTGGGGAGGGTGCTGGACCACTGGGATCTGTCTCCCCATCGCCATCGCCCTCATCCTCCCTTCCTTCCCAGGTTTCTTTGTTTTCTCACCATCACAGGTGAAGTCTTGGATGGCCACGTCCTGGATGGGGATCTCCTTGAGGAAGAATGGTTTCTGGCACCGAGGATTCCCGCTGACAATTCTCCTCTTCCTCAGCCACTTCCCTAGCCATGCCAGATGGCAGTTGCAGTTGAAAGGGTTGGAAAGCAGGTTTCTGGAAAGGCAAGAAGAGGAGAGGCCCTCACCACGTGCTTGACTCTCCCATGGGGGAAACAAGCATAGTTGAACTTCGAACCCAGCATCTCCACCAGCCCAGATAACAACCCCCCTGAAGCAGTGTGGGGGACAAGGGAGGAAAGTGAGGAAAAGGAGGAAATACTTTTCATTTCCTGACATCTAAAAAACAGCTTTCCCAAGTGTCCAATGCTAACCACTCAGCACTCCTATGCCAAGAAAAGAAAAAGTACTTCTGGTCTTAGAATTCCAGAATGGGCAATTCATAGACTCGTCCCAGGGGTCTGATCAGCGGGAATGGCTGAAATGGATAGTTCCCTCCCCTAATCTAAGCAATTCAATTAGTATTTATGAAGGGCCTACTAGGTGCTAGACACTTCTGGAAATATAAAGAGAAAAAAAGCAAACAATGCCCTCAAGGGGTTGATATTCAGTAATGACTGAAAACTTTCTTATCCAAACATGCTGGTCTCTGAATTCACCAACCCCTCTCCCTGTTGGGAATGGGGAGCAGCAAAAGAATGACAAGCATTTTCCCTTCCTCTTGTCAATGAAAGGGAATGAGGGGATTGGAGGGTGAAGGGACAAAGAAAGAATCAGTGAGGACCTCCTTCTAGGAGCCTCACCAGCCCATTGGACCTGGGCAGTGGCAGATTCTTTGCTGAAAGCAAACAAAATGTGCGAGCATGTCTGAGGCAGCAAGTTCTGTTGGGAAAAGCTCTGTATTTGACATCCAAAGGCTGAGATTGAAATTCTAACTCCAGCAGTTAAGTACCCATGTGCTCCTGGGTAAATTGTTTAACCTTGATGGACACTTCATTTATCTTATCTATAAAATAGGAGTATTAATACATCTGGTAACCTACCTGTATGGGGTGTTGTGAGGAAGAGCAATTTATAAACCTTAAAATGCTATAGAAATGAGAGTTGTTAAGTAATATGATAGAAAGAGTTACCAACTCTGAAATTAGAGGCTCTGGGTCCAAATCATGCCTCTGACATTACTGTGTAGCCTTGGGAAGTTAGGTGTTGCAGTGACTGGAGTGCTGGCCTTGGAGTCAAGAAGACTGAAATTCAAATCCAGCCTCAGGCACTTACTAGCTGTGTGACCCTGGGCAAGCCACTTAACCCTGTTTGCCTCAGTTTCCTCACCTATAAAATGATCCAGAGAAAGAAAAGGCAAACCACTTTAGTATGTTTGCCAAGAAAACCCCAAATGGTGTCATGAAGAATTGAGCATGACTGAAAAATTACTGAATAGCAAAGAATAGAGAGCATCCTAACCTAGGAATGAGGAGACCTGGGGTGCTAGTTCTGGCCCTGCCACTGACTTCATTTCTTTCTGCCTTGGTTTTCCAATCTGTCAAAACACAAGGTAGGGGTTTCAACAAGAAAACCAGGTTTCGTTCAAGTCTCAACATTCTATGACTCTAAACAGGCACATGAGAAGAAAATTCTGTACCTTGTATGCAGTATATTCTTAATAAATATCTGTCAAATTGACGCCCCATATGATTCCCACAGTGGTGTCAGTTAATTTGCTCTCTCTGTTTGCTTGAATTTTATTCAAGTCAACATACAGTTGTTAAGTGCCTACTCTACGCTGTCTGCTCAGGCTTCAGGGCTGCCTCCCTGAATGCCCCCATGCTTATGTCAGGTAGACTCCTCTTTCTGCAGTTCAGGAACACCATCAACTCTAATTGCCATAGAAACACTGAAGCATGTGCTAGAGACTGGCTGTCAGTTAGCCTCAAAGGGGACTGGAGAAGAGGTAACATGCCCAACATTTCCTCCCTACTTCCTCCCTATACCCTGCCTCATGCCTGCCCCTCCCCCAGCTCTAGAGGAGTCTGGGGGTCTTATCTCAAGAGTCTGCTACAGGAGCACCAGTTCTTTTCTCAAGTATCTGCACAGGGCCCTTGACCCTCACTCAGAATCTTACCATTTTAGCCTCAACTCCTTTATCTCTGACATGTGGTGATCCAATCTATTGGGACAAGCCCCTGACTGGGAGTCAGGAAGTCTATTCCCAGTTCTATTATTAGTCAACAGTGTGATTTCAATACAACCACTTCTCCTCTCTAGGGTTTGGTTTTCTCATTTGTAAAATGAGGCTATAGGCCTAGATGATCTCCCAGCTTTAATAATATTTGGTCCAATTCAGCAGTCCCCATCAGGGTGGGCCTCTGTGACATTATTCCTCTTTCCCTCAGGCTCTGATAATGTTATCAAGTGTCTTGTTGAGACTCACTAACCCCAGGCCCATAATGATGGTGACGGGGAGATGAGAGAAGAATGCTAAGTTCATTCACAGTATTATCTCTGTGCCTCCTGAGGTGTAGGGTTGATTGGAAAGAGGAAAAAAATAGCTGTGGGATGGTTCATTTAGGGGAGACTTTGATAAAAGTGGTTGAATTGAAAATGAATACTACACAGAGGGAAATGGAGCTCTTAGTTGATATGAGCAGACTGCAATACATAACCAAAGACTCAAAGAACAGGATTAAAAAGTATCATCTGGGAAATGTATGATAAGAAGAGAAAGGGAGGCAAGAGAAGGGGTGTGGGCCCTGGCAGCTAGGTGGCGTAGTGGATAGAACACTAACTCTGGATTCAGGAGGACCTGAGTTCAAATACAGCCTCAGACACTTAATACTTATTAGCTGTATGACCCTGAGCAAGTCACTTAAACTAAATTGCCTTGCCAAAAACAACACACACACACACACACACACACACACACACACACACACACACACACCCCAAGATAGGCTGGTCACATAGTGGGGGTAAAGGATGACAGGTAGGATAGCCCATGTGCTCCCCTGGCATCCTAGTGAAGGAAAAAAAAAAAAGAAGCCAGCCACATGTTGGGTAGATACCTTGTGGCAAACTTTTGGAAGACATGGGCAAGAGTCACCTAGGATGGCCTGAGATCTGTACCACTGCAAAAAACATCCAAATTAATGGCAATGTTGATTCATTTGAGTTTATTTGAAAAGTTATGGAAGCCATTGAAAAATATGATTGATCATTTTTATGTAACAGATTGAGAAATAGAGGCACAGAAAATCTAAGTAACTTGTACTCAGGTACTTAGTACTTAGTAACCAGGTCACATTGAAGGTGTGAGATCTTTCCCAGGAAATAGTTCCTAGACTGTATAGTAGAAGCCATCTGATATTTAAATAGTCTAACAAGGGCTGCTGCATTTATGTGTTCATATCTTTGCAATTCGTTTCCAAAAGTGGGAAAATCTGATGTAAAAATCTCACCCTGGATTGTAGCCAAGCGTACTAGCCAGGCTAAAGAGAAAGGGGGGGGGAACCTCACAAAGAGTTAAATGTTTGTTTCTTCATTATGAGAAGTGGGAGGAAAGAAATCTGTTTGACCAAAATACTCCTTCACAGAAAAAGGACATATTTTTGCCTGCTGGCATTACAAACAAACAATCAATCGCACAGCAAACCCCTATCAGAATCATGGATGAGCTTTCTGAGCAGGTCTGGGGGTATGTCTTCATTGCAGGATTTTAGAGCTGAAAGGTAGCTTAAAATTTTGGGTTGTGCCCATCATTTTACAAATGATGACAATGAAACCCAGAGAGAAGTGACTTTTTTTTTGTTTGTTTGTTTTAGGCAATTGGGGTTAAGTGACTTGCCCGGGGTCACACAGCTGGTAAGTGTCAAGTGTTTGGTCTGAGGCTGGATTTGAACTAGGTCTTACTGACTTCAGGGCCAGTGCTCTATCCACTGTGCCACCTTAGCTGCCCCAAGAAATGACTTTTTCAAGCTCATGTAGCAAATGAGATGGCAGAGAGAGGAGCTCTGGTGTGCCACTCTGCTGTCTTTCCCCTAAGTTCCTCATCTGTAGTTTGTAGTAATGATTCAGTATTAGATAATTCGGCAGTAGATTCAGCCCCTTGAAGTCTGGGGTTTTTTTTAGGAGAGGGGGAGATGTGTACATAAATATGGAGCCTAATCAAATTTGGTGAACTTACACAGCTTTCCCAGTAGGCTGGATTCTTTCCCAATGACAACAGATGACAATGTGATATTGCCTGAATAGTAAGGTTAGCAGTATCTATAGCTTCAAATCAGACCTCAGACACTTACTAGCTGGGTGACCCTGGGCAAGTCACTTAACCCTGTTTGCTTCAGTTTCCTCATCTGTAAAAAAAAAAGCTGACAAGGAATTTACTTGACTACTAGAAGACGGACATGGTGTGGGGCAAGAGGACAAGGCAGGAGAGGGGTCTGGAGTTTGGGGGCATGAGGGGAGGGTAGAAAGGGTGGAAAGGTGTAAAGAAAACATATATATATATATATTATGTATATATATATACATATTATGTATATATATGGATACATAAATATATATTTCATTTTTTCTCCAATTACACATTAAAACAATCTTTTAACATTTTTTTTAGTTCCAAATTCTATCCCTTCTTCCCCTCCCCCTCTCTGAGATAGTAAGCAATCAGATATAGGTTATACATGTGCAATCACATAAAACACTTCCATATTAGTCATTTTGTACAAGAAGACTTGAATAAAAAAAAAGAATGAATGAAAGAAAGTGAAAAAATAGCATACTTCAGTCAGTTTTTTCTCTGGAGGCAGATAGTATACTTCAATCTTTAGTACTTTGAGATTGTCTTGAAACATGCTATTGCTAAGAATAGCTAAGTCATTCACAATTTTTTGTCATACAATATTGCTGTTACTGTGTACAACGTTCTCCTGGTTCTGCTTACTTCACTTTGTATCAGTTCATATTTTGAAGACTTTATCAATGGAACTTTTGTTCCCTAGAACAAAATATTCTGAATATTCACGGCTAAATATTCACCACTTAATTGTTACAAGCCACAGTGAATGACTTGAATGAGTAAAAGAAAAAATGAATGCAAAAGCATTTATTAAAGCCACTACTGTGTAGCAGGCACTATTTTAAGTACTTGGATACAATAGAAAGTGAGACAGTATCTTCAAGGAACTTACATTCTAATAGGGGGAGAAAGTCAGGGAAGAGAGCTTTCACCTAGGGCAGAGAATCTTAATCTGGGGTCCATGAGCTTGAAAAAATATATAATTGTGTTTCATTACAATTGGTTACCTCTTTAATCCTATGTATTTTATTTCATGCTTTTAAAAATATTATTCTGAGGGGCAGCTAGGTGGCACAGTGGATAAAGCACCAGCCCTGAAGTCAGGAGGACCTGAGTTCAAATCTGACCTCAAACCAAACACTTGACACTTAGTAGTGGTGTGATCCTGGGCAAGTCACTTAACCCCAATTGCCTTAAAAAAAACATTCTGAGGAATCTGAGAGATTCGCCAGATTGCCAAAGGGGTCCATGACACAAAAAAGGCCAGGAACCCTCATCTAGAGAGTTAGAGGGGTGGTGAGTTTCCATAGGAAAGTCAACTGACAAGCCTTTTTCAAAAGCAATAGTGCTAGAGAATGTATTACCCTGTGAAGGGCAGATCAAGAGGTGGAAGGCAGAGATGGGGTTGGGGGCTTGTTAGGCAAAAGAGTTCTTGTAGAAATGAAAGGGAGTTCCTATCCTCTACAGACTGGTCCCACCCTACTCATCCATTCTTATAGCCCTCTATCTATCAATCTGGGAGGGGAAGACATTTAAGGGAAGGCAAATTAGGCCATCTTTTGCCTCAAATATTACCTAGCCTTTAATTACTCAATGGGCATTGCCTTAGTCAAATTGAGACCTAAGAAAGACCTTAGCTTAAAAAGGCTAAAGCTTAAAAAGTCCCCTACTACATCCAGGGTCATTGACAGTCGTCTTGACCATTGGACTCTGATGACCCCGGAGGACAGACTGAGGCTGATGACTTTGTACAGCTCTGCCTCACTTAAATCCAATTTACTTGCAAATCAAGACATCACCCTCCTGATGCCATTGGTCCTCTTCCAGAATGAATGACCAACAACAACCACCACCACCACCACAACCCTCTATCTATCCATCCTACCTGTCTGCTTTTCCTTATATAAGCCTCATTCTTACTCCTACCTATCCCAAAGCAGCCTTTGATTAGGCTTTTTATTTCAACTTCTTTTTATTTCAAACTTCAATAATTGGGTCCCATCTTCTCCAAGAAGCCTTCCCCAACTGAGCCTCAGTTTTCTCATCCGCAAAAGGGCTGTTTTGGACTAGACCTCCAAGGTCTGTATCAGCTCTACGTCCTTTGACCACAGCGAATCACTACAAGGGCTAGCACTCAGAATCACAGAAGCCTGGGATTTTAGGACTGGAAGGGAGGTTACAGATCATGTCATCTATTCATAGGATTGTGGTATTTAGAGCCAGAAGGGACATAGTTCAATGTCTTCATCGTACAGAGGAGAAACCTATGAAGCAGTGAAATATAGTGACTTGTGCGGTACAGGAAAAAGAGCATTGACTTGGAGTCAAAAGATCTGGGTCAAGTCTCGACTCCTAGACTTACTAGGGTGATCTTGGGCGCTCTCCGGGGCTCAGTTTGCTCATCGATAAAAATGGAGATAAGAGACGTAGAGCCAGAAAGCCCAACAGAGGTTATCTAGTCTTGTCCCGTCATTTTACAGATGAGGAAATTGAGACCCAGACAGAGATCATAGTCCTTGCTTTCCCGGCTTCACAGGGTTATAGTAAGGAAAGCACTTTAGAATGGTGCTCAGTACATGCTTCCTGATTTGCTGAGAGGCATTTGCTTCCTGATCCTATATGGATTATAAGATAAGTCAAAGGGCTTGATGCATTTTGATAGGGAGCAGCTACATATGAATCCCTTTGCAATCTTGCCTTGCCTTTTCTTCTATGTTCTTGGCACAGAGTGAACGCTTAATACCTGTTTTGTCTTTATTCTTTTTACTTACTAACTGAAGTTAAAATTATTTGCCTCTTGTTACTCCCTTACAGTTAAGCATATATGGATAGGCCTGCAGCACTGCACCTGCCCATGGCCTTGCTTCTAGGTGTCTACAATGTGTGTGTGTGTATGTATACACATAGTTATACATATATAATTATACACATGTATACATGTGTATATATACATATTATAACACACATATATTTATGTATGTGTGTATATACATACCCACATACATGTGTATGTGTGTATATATTTATGTATAAGTGTATATACATACATATAGTTTTTCATATAGATCTTCCGTACTGTCAAGGGCAGGTACTGTGTTTTTCCTGTTAGACTATAGGCTCACACAAAATTACAGCATCTCAGAGACATCAGAGGCTATAAATAGCTCACCCACACAATTGATCAAGAATCAATCAACAAACATTTGTGTATCACCTACTATGTGCCAGTGCAGGAATTCACTCTAAAACACTCCTGACAAATGATCATTCAGCCTCCATTTGAAGACCTTCAGCGAAGGGAAACCTCTTACCCCTGCCCAATGTAGCCCACTCCCCTTTTGGGCACTTCTGGTTATTGTCAGGAAGTTCTCTCGTAAATTTCTCTCTCCCACAGTGTCCATCCATCAGCTCCTAATTCTGGTCTCCTGGACCTCAAAGAACAATACACTTCCTCTTTCATACTGACAGCTCTTCCTTAAGGTTGGAGCCATGCCTTTTCTATCACACTGAAAGCTCCCTGAGGGCAGGGATTATTTTCTTTATTAGACCAACATCCCTCCCTTTTAGGAAAAACATTGTATCTCATTCTTAGAATGTGAACTCCTGCTCTTCTGGGGATGGTAAAGAATTGGAAACTGAGGGAGTGTCAATCAACAGGGTAAGGGCTAAACGTGATGGAATGCTACTGTGCTGTAGAAATGATGAAGGAGACAGTTTCAGAGAAATCTGGGAAGACTTGTATGGATTAAGGCAAAATGAAGTGAGCAGAACCAGGAGAATGATTTATACAATAACAGCAATATTGTAAAGAAGCAGCTAGGTAGCTAAGTGGTTAAGGATGTTGGATTTGAAGTCAGGAAGACTTGAGGTCCAAATGTGCCTCAGACACTTAGTAGCTGTGTTGCTCTGCACAAGTCATTTAACCACTCTCTATCCCAGTTTCCTCACCTATAAAATGGGGATAACAATAGCACCTACCTTCCAGAGTTGTTATGAAGTTCAGATCAGATAATAGATGTGTAATGTTTTGCAAACCTTAAAGCACTTGTATATAAAATATAACACACAAGTACTAGTTATTATTATTATTAAAGATAAACTACTTTGAAAGACTTAAGAATTCTGATCAATCCAATGACTAACTGTGATTCTAGAGGACTCATGATGAAACATGTTAACCTGCCTCCTGACAAAGAGGTAGTAATAAACTCACAGACAGATAATTTTTTTAAATGGCCAATGAGAGAATTTGTTTTGCTTGACTCTACATCTTCATAATAAGTGGCTTTTTTTGTGGGGGTCTGAGGGAGAAAAGGCAAATTTTCATTGATTGAAAAAATAAAAATTTTAATGAAAAATAAATAAAAATAAAATTTTAATATGACTGTGAGCTCCCAAAGGATGGGAGCTATAACTTTCCTGTTATCATTGGCATCATCCACATTTATTGAGTACTGGCTATTTGCTAAAAAAAAAATAATAAACTACCAATGCAAGAGAATAAAAGTTAAATTAATTGAATCCAGGATTTTTATTTTGTCATTCAAGTTCTCTCCACTACATCAGGCTCCCAAGATAATAGGGATATCTGGGGAATGGGAAGTTAAAGAAGGTTTTGATCCAGGTGTGGCCACAGGGAGTTTTCCATCCCTCCCTAGGGTCGCCTCTACTAAGCAGGGCAGATTGTAGGAACAGCAGAACTTACATGGTTGACAGGGAGACGAGTGTGGTGAAGGCTCCTGGGGTGATGGTGGTGATCCTGTTGTCATAGAGGGACAGTAGCCTCACTGAGCTCAATCCAGCAAAGGTGTCGTTGTTCACACAGCTGATGAGGTTGCTCCTCAGCATCCTGCAAGGAGAGGCCTGGTGATAAATGGTAGACTGGAGGCTGTTTCCTTCTCTACCACTTCAGGGCTCAAAGTCAGCATTAGTTCCTTAGGTACTCTCTGATATAGTACAGACCTGGGTCCCAGAATGGGCTACTCTGTGTGTGCATGCACATTTAAAGGGATTGCACAGCATACACAGGACTGTTTTTGGAAAGGGATATTAGAACATCTCCCTTCTCAAGCTGCTATAACAGAGGCCTGGCTCATGTACAAACTCCATCAACTCTCTCACCTGATGCAACCTCTTCATATGGAGGGCACTAGTACATTATTTCTGGTGGAATCATGATGAGGTGCCTTGGAGAGACTGGGGAGAATGTGTAGACATTCCATAACTGGTCTTGGTTGCTAACCATGTTAACCACCTGATGAAGGAGAGGTTTTGGGTGGGCTCTGGAGGCATTCAGAAAAAGGCTTGTCAGCACTAACCACTTATTTTCTCTTTGTTTCATTAGGTGAGAGACTCCTTAGCTCACAGCATTTATGAGAGACTAGGATAACCTTGAGAGTTTTGAAAAGTTGAGAGGAGTCACAAGAATCCAGGACTGGGAATGGGTTTTGAAGGTACTGCAGCATTGATGCCCCAATGATCTAGGAATGGCCTTTGGGACCCCAGCCCAGTAGTATCTGAGACAGGGCTCATCTGGCAGTCATGCTGCATGGAATTATGAAGTCGGTGGGATCAATTGAGATAAGTTGTGAGCCTTCTACCCCAGAATCCAAGTTGATATAGAGTGCTTTGTGTGGGAAATGTTTGTTGTTTGTTCTGGCTGTCTTTGAAAGAAACATCTTTTGTAAAATCTAATAGATGTTAAGTGTTAAATGGAGGCAGGGTGCTACTAACTGGCTCCTAACAATGTGGGTATACAGCTGATGGCAGTAAAAGAGAGATACTTCAAGCCCTTAGAGTGACTCTACACCCCTAAGCAGGAGGTGTGACCTGTCTGCTTCTAGGACAGAGAGCCAGAGCACACACTCTCTATTATTAATTCCACTATAGGAGTCACAGATGATTTCACTTTTCTCTCATGATGGTACTGGGTGATCAACGTGTAACCATTACCATCTCAACATATAGATCCAGACCCAAATGCTTACTCTCTATCATCCTCTGTTCCCTCTCATTCTCTCTTGACTCCTCATTCTTCTGGTCCCACCCCAGCCTGGACCTCTATCCCTATTCCAACCTACCAGGCTTTGGTGCACTCACATTGTCTTGAGGCTGGTGAGCCCACGGAACATTCGTCCATGCACCAACTCCAGCTGGTTCCCCGTCAGCATCAGCTCCTGAACGTTGGCTGCCCCATCAAAAACACCTTCCCGCACCTCCTTGATCTTGTTGTTACTCAGGTTTCTGAAGGAAGAGGAGGAAGCAGGAGAGGGGAGGGGAAGGGAAAGGCAGTGGTGACCTTGAATGGTGTGAGAAACCCATTGCCCCATTCCAACCAAGTGGGGATATGAGGGTAAAAGTGAGGCAGGTGGTATATCATCCACAGATATACCTACTCTTTTTGGAGGGCTGGACAATGGGTATGGGAGGAAGGAAAGGTGAGATGAAGAGATGCTAAAAAACCCAACCCAGAGGATCTATGATGTTTGAGCACTTTCAGCCCCAAAGACTTGTGGGTATGGCACTATTCAAAGTATGCTCTGGTTCATGCAACAAGTGTATCTTTGAAAGCAAGGGAGATAGGAATAAGGACTAGACCTGTTGTTTTACTGGTACAGGAAACACCCTGGTAGGTAAACTTCTACCAATGCAGAGGAATCATCTCTGAAATTTATTGTTTTAGGTAGTTGCCTGGAGCACTGAGAGGTTAAGAGACTTGGCCAGAGTCACACAGCCAAGATGTGTCAGAAGTGGGACTTGAACCCAGGTTTCCAGGCTAGCTCTCTATCCACTATACTTTGCTGTCTCTCTGTATACCTGACATCTAAATAAAACATCTGCAAATGACAGGGTGGGGAGAGAGCGGAACTGGCCACTGAAAGGAATCTTTTGCAACGTGAACAACTGTCACTTCTGGTCAAGCAGGTATGGACCAGACAAAGGTTAATGTCAATACTGGTAGCAGGAGATGCAGGCGTACATATGCGTGTGTGTGTGTGTGTGTGTGTGTGTAAAATATAAAAATATAAATGCTTCTACAGGACTTAGAGAGGGGAAGAAGTGGCGAAGGATAAGAATATAGTATCCCCATGAGTTGAGGTGGGGGAGTGCAATAAGAAAGGTAAGGAAATGGACACAACCCCTGCTTCTGGAAGAGGCAATGCCATTAAAAGTAGGGGCCCCCATGATGACCACTCCTGATATTTTTGTTTCATAAATACAGAGTTTTGGGTATTGGGTATTCTCAAAACAGGACTGACTTGCATCCAAGACTCAGTTTCCTCATTTTCACTCATTTTCAACACTTGCTCTCATCTCTCTCCCCCAGGTCCCAGTTTTCAGACCTGTGCTCTGAAATAACATTTTGCTCTTTTGCTAAAAGAAGCCACCTTGGAACAAACCTCATAAGAGGATTATGATGAGCAGGCCTTGATTGACCAATCAAAACATTAACCACTTGTTTGAGACTCTTCCCGGGCAAACACCAGTGGTGCATGGCTCCATCCAACCCCCATGACAGAAGAGCCCAGATTGTCAAATATGAAAGGCTTCCAGGGCCTGACGAATGGAACAGAACCAAATGATATTTACACGATCCAAGGGGAGGAATTTAGCCTGACCAAGCACATCCTATTCACCAAACAAATAATCTGTTTGGTAAGCCTCCTCTCCAACCTCCAGTGAACCATACAGCCCATCAACTGAACTAGTCCACGGACATCCTTGCCACAGCCCTGGTGGCCAGGATGGGCACACTAACCTATAGATAGGAATATGCCAGTCAAAGCTGTTGCAGACATGTCCCTTGTGTATGAGGCAGTCATATAATAACCCTTTGTTGTTCCTTTCTCTTCCATCCCAGGAAAAAGCACAAACAGTAGTTGGGAAGACACCTGCCCCAGTGACAGAAATGTATGTGTGTGTGTGTGTGTGTGTGTGTGTGTGTGTGTGTGTGTGTATGTGTGTGTGTGTATTCCTGCTTAATCCCTTATAGAACCATAGCCCTTTAGATCTGGATGGGACAATTTAATTCACTGCCTAGCACACAGTTGATGCTTAATAAATGTTTATTAACTGACAACTCTCATTTTATAGATGAGGAAACTGAGTCCAGGAGTCTAGTGTGGGGAAGTGACTTGCTCAGTGAAACATGACATGGGCAAACAAACTCAGCTTTCCCATGTGCCATGGAGAAATATCCAATAGACAGGTTAAACTTTATTGTATTTAGGATCACTGCTTTATTTCATTTGGGTTTAGTCTGTTTTCTCTTAAACCCTGGGAACCTGGACATAGGATAACCCAGGAATGATGGTAATGCAATGAGAAGATTGCAAATTACCCCAGATCAGAAATCAAATGGGAAATAAAAGTTCCCTCAATACCAATAACTCACCCACATGCCAGAAGAGTGAGATTTTTGCTTTGAGAGTTGGGCTTCTTGGTGGATTAAAGTGCCCACAATGGGCAATTAAGATGAATATGACTGTCTATGAAATGAATATTTCCCCATTTCCCGACATCTGTTTCTTTAAATATACAAAATTAACATCACATTACTGTAAGGTTTCACATTGGATTTCCCAAGGCTAAGAGGACAGAAGATAGAAGAGGAGATAAAAAAGAAAGAATAAAAATATACAGAGAGCCTTGCCGCTACAACATCTCTTCAATATTACAGGGACTGGAAAAGCATTGAATAGCTCTATGGCAAATACTTGGAAACCAGGCACAGAATTCTAACTTATTGCAATAAAGAGTTGAGGGGACTCCCAGAACAGTCTGGTCCTATAAGCAGTATCACAGGCAATCCCTAACTCCTCTACCTTTTTTTTCTGTGTACAGCCACCCACTAATAGATGTGTTGTCAGGACCTTTATAATGACAGGGATGGAGGCGAGAATGATGAAGAGGACGAGAGAGGCCCTTCTACAGGCAGTTCTGCTATAAATCGTGTTTGGAAAATGTGAATTGGTTCCAACACAATTGATGTATCCGGGAATGGTTTGAGCACAACTCACATTTTCAGTTTGCTAATGTGGATTTCTTTTACTTCATAAGAAACATCAAGAAAACACAGCTAACTGCACTATTTTTCAATAACTCACAAGATAAACCTTTCGAATGCCCACTTTCATAAACCATCAGTAAGTCTTTGTCAAGATAACGTATTATATTCATTGTAGAATTTTTGTTGTAATAGAAGCTGGGAGAAGAGAAAGACTGGTCCATACCATCCCCAGCCCTTTCTGTATAGCAGCTCAAGGCACAGGCCTAGCGGCAGCTGAAGGCTGGGAACCAGGTTATAATTTATTGAATTTATCATATTCATGTATTTTTTAAAAGTATTTTTGAAACTTTTAACATGTACAAAACTGTGCTACCATGTTTTTATTAGGTTCCTATCTTTTTTTGAATGTGTCACTAACAAAGTAACACATTTTGACACATTTTGAGTACCATGCCCCTAGCCCCATTTCCACCATAAGCTTTGTGGTTTTTTATTGAGCAATTTTGTGTAGCGAGGTGCTTTCTGGGAATGCATATGTCAAGTGACAGCAGAACTGCCTGTGGTTCCAAACTGCCTCACACCCAGGGTTCAGTCAAAGCAGGCCAACTTGGAGAAATCAACTCTAAGGAAAACTGCACACCAAATGAACTTCTGTTTTCTGTTTTCAGGCCCCATTTATATTCTTTCCATGAAATGTGATTGTCATCGCCTCCATAAGCCAAGGGGAGTCTATCTGGCTACCTCCGTAGAGCTTCAGTCTGACAAGGCAAAGCTCTGTCTATTAGGGGTCTCTATTTTTCATGCTTGTTGGATATACTATAAACCCTGTTTGACATGAGGGAGGTGGTTGTAATCCAGGCAAAAGCACTGGCCTCAGGCTCAGACAGGGATGGAGGTAAGAGACAGGAGAAGGGTGGAAAACATCTCTTTTCCCAGAAACCAATAAAGCTGACTAGTGAAAAGGTTGCATTTTGGGTTTCCCATCTGGACAGACAAGCATGTGTGGAACAGCAGAAAGAACACTGGCTCTGTAGTCAGAGGAGCTGGGTTCAAATCCTGTCTCTCACACTCACTATCTGTGTGATCTTGGGTAAATCACTGGACTTCCTTAAGCTTCAGTTTCTTGGTCTGAAAAATGAAGAGGTTGGACAAGGTGGCTTCTGAGATCCCTTGAAACTCTAAATTTGTGATCCTATATCCATCCTGCTGAGGAGATTTCACTAATAGTCTCCTTCAGCACTGAAACTAACTTGCAAACCCGTATAAGCCAGATATGGCAGCACATGCCTGTGGTCCTTGCCACTGGAAAGGCTGGGGCTGGTGGATTGCTTGAGTTCAGGAGTTCTGAGGTGCAGTAATGCTAAAGCAGATCTAGCGTCCTCCATTAACTCTGGCAACAATATAGTGGAACGCCAGCTGCCTAAAGAAGGGTGAACTAGCCCAGTTGGAAACAGAGCAGCTCTCGGGCCCCCAAGTGGCTACTGTACTCCTGGCCTGGATGAGAGGGGGAGATTCAGTCTCCCAAAAAAAAAAGAAAAAAAAATCAGTGTAAAACAGGGATTTTTAAAAGAGTGCATGCACACTCTTGTGTGTGTGTGTGTGTGTGTGTGTGTGTGTGTGTGTGTGTGTGTG